TTAGCATTGTATAAATTACTCCTTAATCACACATACACTAGCGAACTGCCTTTTAGTGATTCACATATATTTGAAAAAAAGTAAATTTTTTTTTTTGGATCTTGTATGTTCATAATATTTTTGTAGTATTTGTTAGCATCATTACCAAAAATTTCGTTATGGCTTTTATAGCTTAAAAAATTTATTATTAAGAGACTTTTATTCCATAATTTAGCGCAGCAATGAAATCTAAATTCACAGACTCTTTCCTCCCTTTTAAGACACAAATAAATAAAAAACACAACAGTTTAATATGTATCAAGTCGAAATTTTTAATTTAATTTTCTACGGAAGATATTTGATAAATAAGTATTATGGCTACCGTTTCTATTTAAAAAAGATCAAACTACGTTGCACAAGGAAAAGAAGGGATATAGATATTCAAAGGCACACGCGGACAAATTAACATAAAACTGTAAATGCCGCCACTAATAAAAATCTTTATTAATATCAAAAAAGAACAAAAAAACCAATATTTAAAAACACCGTAAATTACCCCTTAAAGCGAATCTAATGTATCCGTCGTATGAGAGGAGACATGTGTTCAAGAGATTGCTTCGATTTTACTCAACTGCCAGAGGGAACATCAATGAAAAGTTTTTGGCATTGACAACCAAAAACAAAAACAAACTCAGCTGCAATTTTGCTACCAAACATCTAAAATTATAGTAAATATTTTCACTAGAGTGCGAACATAGTCCCAAACGTAGCATTCTGCTATTGCTTCGCAAAAATATTTTATACCTAAATGGAGTACCTTTGCAACTTATTGACGTCTGCAATGCCTGTACGCAGTTTACAAACGAAATCTTAAGTACTTTAAAAATGCACAATTAGCCCTATTTTGGTCTATCTTTCTACTCCTTCATCATATCAACCGTCGTTCCACAGTCTGACAACTGTGAAGGAGCACACTACCCTCGATTGTTGAATTACAGGTACGAGTGCGGCTTAGGTGACATTCATAGAAGCCGCATGATAGTGACTAAAGTTAGCTGCACAATATGGCATGGGAAGCTAAACTATGGGTATGGCAAGCTAAATCCTGGGAACGGCTCACGTATACATCTGCTATTCCTTCGTTTTACAGCAACAGCGCGTGCACTATATAAGTTACTGTTGCTAGGCGACAGCAAGTCAAAATACCTATGCCATTTGCTTTCTTTTCGTTCCATTTGCAATGTCCCTCAGAATCAGAATCGGAACAAATTTAATGTATCTTATTTAGCAATAAAAACCGATCATCGAATATACTCGAGAAGTGACATAAAAATCAAATGTACGAAGATCATAACTAATAACTAAATAGAAAGAATTTTATTTGGGTTAGTGTGAATATTCGGAAATCCAACTTTCACGTATAATCGTCGAATCGTCGGGAACCCTTTCGTTGTCTTTAACCTACGCTGTCAAAAAGGCGACAAAGATGATGACTGAAAAGAAACCATACTTTAAATAAAATAACTTAAGCAATTTTTTTTTCTTGATAAATGCTCAATTTTGCTTAAAAAGCATACGCTTAATAATATATCCAATGCTTACGAGTAGAATAAGTTACAAAGTTCATACATATGCTCTCGTAGAAGATGGCTTATGTGTATGTTTAGTATAATACATTGAAGCAATCGCATAAATGCGTAGAACAGATTATCCGAGTAAACCCAGAAAGGCGTACATCTTCAGTCTCCAGATTTTGTTGATATCGATCGTAATCATGATTACAACTGACAGGCAGCCGAGTCAATTTTGCTGCTTTCGCTGATTAAGAATATCTTCACATCATGGGGCCGATATGTTTCTCTCTGTATTCCAACCGGCACTCGCTAAAAATTTGCAAACAAAATCCAAAATTAAGTAAATTAATATCACCAACGCCATTACTTATAAAACTACACATATACCTTTGCATATTCATTCCGTGCAAACGACTCTGCGCCAAAATATTGAGAGGTGAATGTTAAAACTTTATGAATAATTGCTCTGTCCCCTTATTTAAGCACAATTTATGGGCAGACGCGACAATCAGCATTTGACGCTACGTTATCTTATTATAAACTCATTATACTCGTTACTGCAAACATGTGTCGCGCAGGAAACATAGTCTATGTGAAGATTAAAGTACAAGTTTATTCTAGAGAAAAACTCTTTATTCGCAGTATATTCGAATTTTCGTTTCGTTTACCGAATGTGTGAAACTTGTTCGTTTATGTTTCTCTTTTCCTTTAATATACTCTAAATAGCAATAAACTTCATATCCACTGAAGAAATATTGAAGATTTGTTAGATTTATCCTTCTGCTGCTATGAATCCTGGACACAAGTTTCTAAAAAGTACTGTGTATTTTTTGATAGAAACTTTGCGGTTTCGATGCGAAATCGTCATCGACGCATTATCGCCCGTCGTCAATTTTTGTGAAACGCAGGTCGGCTAAATATGACTGTATCGATCTAAGCAAGCGGTGGTCAGGAGGAGGCCGGCCTAGAGACTGCGCCCCAATTGGTAGAAGCTTCCATACCAACATGATAATGGCTTCTTGATTAGCTTTTGCTATAGGCGGACAGACATATGCGAACGTTTATCATTCCCAAAGCTACAAAGTTTGCGAAAAATCTCGTAAATCCCTTTCTAACCATTTCACACCTTACTATATTCATCTCATTCCAAGCTAATTTAATAATTTCCGTAGTTCCAGAAACATATGCAATGACGTAAATGCTGCTTGTTGACATCCACTTCTCCATACTTTCATTTACATTAACTAGTAACCAAAGGAAATTTGTGACGTGGCCTTATGCAAGTAATGTATACCCAAAATTTCGATAGGGGTGAATGGCAAAAGCAATCTATTTCAATGCAGGGAACTTTTTTACACACTTAACACATGTATTCTTGATCGGACGGCTTTTAATTCATAAAACTTAAGCAAACGGAATTCTGAGAACAAAAGCAGAGAACAATTCAAACCATCTATCGTTTAATAGTGATATTCGAACTGGGACTCAATTGAGCTTTCATTAAGATCATCTGATCATTACATGGGGTATAGTACTATAGTCACATCGCCAACGTGAACAACGAGAGGACAAGCAGAAATACTTACCACAGATATCTATGTATACACTACATCGACATGAATTTCTCTAGCAAATTTTTAACGGTGCGAAGCTTCGCAACTGTGTGTTATCCAACGTACTGCATAGAACATAGTACGTGGGTCATCCCCGCTTCCATATTGATAAAGAAAAAGAAGAAAGACTTTAGAAACGTGTAAGGCTTTGGAAGACAATTAAAGTTGTTTTTACGCGGTTTGCTTTTCTCCGATATTCTTTCTTGTGTTTGTGTTAGTTCGATTTTTTTTCGTTCCTTATACTTTGTTATTTCTAGTTTAATCTAGTTTAGTTTTGATCTAGTCTGATGTTCCCCAGAATAGCCATCTTGGCCCTCTTCTTTCCATTCTATTTGTAATGTTCATTCCAGTAGTATGCAGAATTCTAGTGTCCAAGTGTTTGCAGTTGATGCAAGAGTTTACTGTTCTTTCGACGTACTTACCTCGTATTTAACTAATAACTATGTTCGGGAGCGAGCATCGAACGTTAACGGCTTAGGAATTATCCTTGACTCTAACCATCGGTTTAACATTCGTATTAAGACTTCCGCTAATAAAGCTAAGTCTTTTCTGGGATTCGTTAAAAGGTGGCCAAGAAAGCTCGACGATCCTTACATTACGAAAACAGTCCATACGTCCGTGGTTAGAGCAATCCTGAAGGTTCAGTTATAGTGCGGATGCCAAGTTATGGACACATAGATCTTAATGAGTCCGTGCAATTTATACTGTTTGCATTGCGTAGTTTGGCTTGGGATCCGTCAGTGGCACTACACCTACATGAGAGTAAGTTGCAGCTTATTGATTTAACGTCACTTCAACTTATAAAGGAAACGTTGGCCGTGTTTTTTTTTTGGGCTAAATTAATGAAGAGTGATGTTTCTGGCTAAACGATGCTTCTTGCAATGTTCCGTCTAAGGTTCAATTACATTTATTTTGGAACTTACTCACTGTTACGCTAATTGTCTTCTACATAATCCATTTCGAGTCTTATGTGGGATGGTATTTCACAATATCTTACACCGGTTCTGCAGTCCCTGCAAAGTAATAAAAAAATTTATATTGGCTCGATTGCCGGAACCTTGAAAAATTTTGAATCAAATGAATATAATTTTGTTATGCAATGCAATTAGAGTTGCGGCCTGATGAATATCACATTTGTCGAATCATTCAATTGGCACAAAAAGGTGTCGCGTAAACATCGACCGCAGAAGAGCAAGTGTATTAAAATTTGCTTTGCAAATACCGGTCCGCTTATTAAAAACTATATGCAATCGTGATTATGATCATCGCGCGTACTCGCCCACCATAATGTTAATATAGTCAGCAGTAAAGTTTATACCTATGCAAGAGCGTTACTTCCGTATGTAACGTTTAAAATGAGACACCACTCTTAACCAACTTAAGGTTCTGCTAGGATTCAAACTAGGATTAGTTGACCTACGCCATTTGTTGTCAAACTCGTGGCGACAGCACTAATTTGAATGGAAAGCTAAATCTTCTATCTACAAATATTTCCCAAATTGCCCAAATTTTTATAGACGCTATGGTCGGTTCACGTACATAGGCGAGCAAATTAGTAGACATATTCACAAGCAGAAAGACACGTCATTTTCGAATCCTATGCTTACTAAAAACACGTCCGGCTAATGGTGTCTCCTACACACATATCTGCTGGCCTCACTAGCACAAAATTTAATTAACATACATCCGTTAAAAATAAGCAGAAAATTCAAAAAATTATCCATGAAAAATCTATGAAATTCAAAAATCTATGAAAATCTATGATTTCTATGAAAAAAAAACGCCTAAAATATGGAAAATTATTAAAACTCTTAAATATCGTAAAAACTTTTAAATTTATGCAAACAGATGTACATTTAATTTGTTTTGCACGCACATAAATACTTTACAAAAACTAAATGACTTTGCGTACTAACCAATGAGGACTGCGAGGCCACGCAATTATCACAATGTTATCATTTAACAGAAGAGAGAATCTAATCCAATTAGTAAATGAATCGGAAAAAACTGACTCATCTTAAGGAAGAAAAGTTTACGGCCTAATTCCCAATACCACAAGAGAAAAACATGGATTTTCTAGCAACGTCTAGCTTACTATTAGTAATATGTGTGGCACTAATGTGCCATCAAGCCTATGCCATGAAAGGTGAGTTAATTATCTTGTAATTATTGTTTTCATTATTAATTCAATATATTTCGTTAAAGTTAAGACGATCTGTCATCCCTTTTGTTTTTCTTCTTTTTTTTTTTTTTATCATTGTTCAAAAAGTGAGCTCATATATTATTGTATGAATTGTAATGTGTGAATAAAACTTTTTACAAAGAAAAATTATTGTTTAAAAGACGTTCAATTGTATTATACATATATGTATGCATGCGCACACAGGCAAAAGGCTTCCGACAGTAAACAGTTCAGTTGTAGTCGCCTCTTTAGATCCACTTCAGAAAGCTTAGTGGGTATTTTTAACGTGTAACAGTCCATACAATGAGGAAGACATAAGGTCTTAGCTCTGAGCATTACTTCGTGCGACAAGTTCGACTGATACGGTACGCAGTCGCTTTTCGTACCTTAACTAAAATAATAATGTCGCGCACTTATCAAAAATGTATTTGTCCGTCCATCTGTTCATTCGTTACTTTGCTTCGTTACGCCGACATCTGTCCTGGTTCGCCTGGTTCTTCTTGTTTGTCTTGTTCGTTTTTGTTGTGTTTATCTGTATTATATATAATATATTTTTTTTTAGATACGGTATAAAGATAATTGCATATATATTTATATACATAAATGAATATAATAGTATTATCTATAGCAGAAATCAAATTAATTATTATAATCTCGGCAGTTCCAGTTAAAACCTAATCAAATCGATCTAAGTGGATTCTTAAGTAATTCTTTTTTTTCCTTTTTAATGTCCAATCAATGAGGGGATGTCCCCTAATTGTGTAACACGGCCAGAAAGAAGAAAAAGGGAAGAAAGGGAAAGATATAGCGTGGTGGCGGCAGCTTAATAGATCAGTGTGTCCAATTGGCAAGTGTTATGCCTTTACCGACTAAGGACTCACTTTAGCTACTACCAAAAAAAAAACTATACCGCAATGAGGTTTGAACGACTACTCAGCCAGTATTCGCGGTCCTTACCTACCCGGCTACTCTTGCGGACATATGAAAGACTTTAAGCATTATTAAGAAGCATTGTTGAAACCCATGCAAATGCTCATTTTTTCTCAAGTGTTTGTGATACATAAGATTGTACAATGTAGGCAATTCGCAACAAACCTGGTCTGTTCAGCTATCTAAAGCAGCCATGGAACTAAATGATCTAAGATGCTTATCTTCTTGAATAGTAAACGTCATTATATGTGATTTCGAAAGCTAACATACATCAATATGCCCATAATAAACTCAAGATATTACGAATCTCAGCCCGGCAGGTCTTATATGATTATCTATTCATCACACTATTATGTCAGATAAGTTAGTCACTTTACCAAACCAACTTAAGTATGTTACGTACGGCATGTAGTAATTTTAATGTGAGTACGTGCATGTTACACTTTTCCTATGTTGGATATATTTAAATGTAATAATTTGCATATGACGGCGCTTTTGTACGTGAAGTTTGTAACGTTACAGCAACATATATGTGCTTACATTGCAGGTTACGTTTGATGTTCTAATCGTAATAAAAAAAAAGACAAAAAAACTAATATAACAACCAATTACTAAATATCAAAATACTTCATCTGAGTGAAGCGTTTGAAGACATTTCAGTATTTTAGATGCTTGCTTCCATAGTTCTATTTCATTCAGGATGCCTGTTAACAGGCAGGTACAATTATAGCTGAATAAATCCAAAATTTCAAATTAATCATCGACTCTTCAATATGTGTTCTTTGCTATTTAATAGCGACTACACACACCATCCTTGCATGGTCGTTAAAAAGAAAAGAAAGGAAAAAATGTAATGAAATGAAAATATTAAGTAAATCTCACTCGGTATGAGGGAATGATATATGGCCGTCTCTTAATACATGAGATATAATGTTTGTTTTTACCACCTGAATCATGTATTACAAGCTACATTGCTTAGAAGGAAGAGCAGACGAACTGAATGTGTGCAGCGTATGACAAAATATCAAAATTTTGTTTAACTAAAACAGAAAAACAAAAATGTATATATATGTATATTCGAATATTTGATATTCTTCATGCGACTTTCAAAACCACACCTGTGGTGAGTACGAGTCGCGTTGTGAATTATGAAAACATTATTGAAATACAGGGCAGTATGTACATAAATTTTTACGCGCTATAAAGTATATTTACTTAATGTACTAGTGAGTGTAGAATCGCAGACAAATCAATGTACGCACCTTAGGTCAGTCAGTTACCCATTCATTGGCGCGTTATTAAGGAGTGAATTAAATAGGGGACGACGAACTTCATGCTTTTCTTTAATAAACATCAAATTAAAATGAATCCATTCAAACAAATTAAGTGAATAAATAAAAAGAAATTTTTTCCGCCTCTTTATAGTGTGACCGAAATGCTCGCGATCGCAACAACATGTGAGAAAATTATAACATGGTCGAACATCTGAACGGAAAAAGTGCGTGAATCATCTTTTTCCCATACGCATGCACACATCAATATATACATACATTGTTCGCTACGAATATAAGCACATGAAAAGTGACGTCACGCACCATAAAACAAAAGCAAGCGCTTCAGCAAAACAAAACACATGATGAAAATCTATAAAAAGAATAGCAAAAACCAAATACACATTTTCCTCGTAAACATAAACAGAAATCTACCAAAAGAACATAAAAACAAAAGCCTGGCGTATTTATTTTATATTGTAATGTGAAAAGACTTTCAGCAGGCACTGCAATAGACTTGAAACGAATTTGTTAATACCTAATATAATTTTTAAAAACTCATATCTGCTCCTTAAGCGATCTGATCTTAAACGTTGACCTAAGAGTTTAGGCGGCTACCAAATCGTGATTTATATGCTTTCATTCACATTCACATTCTGATTCGAACTTTCGTTGTGAAACAATATGTGCAGTACACTGTAACATACCTTTCCCTTTGTTTTCATTTTGCCAGCTATTGATGTAAGTGGATGCTAACCGAAGTAAACTCGATTTTATTTTCAGCCTATAAAAAAAAAAAAATCGTTTTTAATCCAATTATTTCAAAACTCAATTTAGTAGCTATGAGGCAACACTACTTCACAAAGCGATGGCGCAATACTACACACGTTCTTTACAAAGCCATCGGTCGCCACCATCATATTCGACTTATGCATAATTTTATCGTTAATAACCGATTATATCCTCATTATTACTGTATGTTTTTTTTATTCCTTTTGGCAATTTCATCCAAAAATCTTTCGAATTTATAAAGAAATTTAGTGCTCGACAATGGTAGTTAGTTATATTTATATCTTAAAGTATGATTAATGGATCTGGGACATGAGACAAATCCGAAACGTTTAGAGAAAACAAAAGAAACCGCGATTGGTTTAACTAAAAATGAAATCGTTACACCCCACTCCAATCACAACGCTAATGGTATGTCCTTGAAAGCGAACAGTTAATAATCTTATCCTAATACCCTAATCAAGTCAACGCGAATAGAATCAATAGCATCGTAAATTAGTCAGCATTATACAGAAAAAGGTCCTCATTCCTCATATCGTTTAATAATAGTCTTTATATCATCGCCGGCTGACAAGCTGGCAAAAATCAAAAACTGATGGCAAGGAATTTAGACAAGACTTAGTCTAATAAAGGGCATGAGACTCAAGAATCTCGATCGCAAAGCTTGTTAACAATTACTGAGAATATTAGCACAATGAGAGCAGAAAACTAAAACAAGCATAATATAGAATAAAGGCAAGCGGAACAAGCAATGCGCGCGGATGCTCTATTCTCAGTGCGGTTTGCGGACTTACCAAACATGTACTTGGGCGTAGCTATGGTAAGTTTTCAGCCGTACGAGCGACCACCACCTCCCAATTTCTTTCTTGTTCTTCATTTCTCTCTGACCATCATGGTCTTACACATACATGTCCTGTGATGTCTTGAGAAAAGAAGAAAAATGATGAGAAGAGATATGGGTTACAGCAAAAGAAATAGTCTGATCCAATAAAACTTCCTACTTCAAGTTCTGGAACCTGCCTGATACCGCTTTCCATTGTATTCCAAAATTTGGTGGGTAAATCACATTTGCAGTGAAACTCTGAAGCTGCGACGAATGCGAAACGTAACTCCACCATGTTCGTGAAATCCTATTTCTGCAGACAGAGAGAGGCTTTTGCCTCGCTTGTCAAATTTTGTTAATGTTCTATCTTCGTTTCATTAGCCATTTAAAGCCACGTCCGAAATTTCGGACAAGCACAAGCAGCGGCCCATTTAGTATAGTTGCCGTGTCGTTTACAGCTCGAGGACTCATCGGGCACAATTGCCGTAGTAATGAGTATGCATAATAACAGAGTCGTAATTCAAGCATTGTACGTGGACTTTATATGTGAAATCGTTAGAAGCACAGCGTTATACATTTAAACGACCCGTTCGGAAAAACTGGAAATAAACTGAGTTCAATTGCTTACGAAGTGTACATAATTTTTCCAAGTTTTCAAAAATTTTTTTAAACACGTATTCAAAACTTAAATAAAACCTTAGGTACTAAGGTTAAGGTATGAGAGTGCAATATTAAAAACCATTGATGTCTGATACGCAAATTCACCTAAAAAACAAACCCAACAACTCTTCTAAATATATTTATCTCAAGATCTTAAATATATAAAAATCAACAATATTTATTAGTTATTTAAATTTTAGTTTTTCATTCCGCATACATAGTTGTACCCTCTTCCTGCGAAGTGCGCCCAATTACGTGCCTACAGACCGTAAAGGTAGAGAGGCAGAGGAACCGAATGAGAGATAGTTAAGTATATTTTAGATTGCATGCTGATTTAGAATGCATAAGCTGCATGATGTCTCCAAAGTGTGTGCTTGTGTCAGACGGCTCGATAAATTCAATACACTTTACTTTATTGATATGGAGTTTAAAAAAGAATTTAAAAGTAATTTGAAATAAAAAATTTTCTACTCTACTGAATGTGTTTTCTT